CTCCTTTATAAAGGTAGTGAACAACTGTGAAGCATTTATTTTTAAAGGGAAAAAAAGGGAATTGAGCCATAGCTACATGTAAAAGTTGCTAACTTTTTCATTCTGATGTTCATCATTACGTTATCATTTTTATTCATGCAATTCCTTCTTCTTTACAATTACGGTTCTGATGGATTCTTTAAAATGCAATGTGATGTTTGTTTGAAGTAGCCATGGCTCAATTCCCATTTATTTAAAATACAGTGGTTCATAGTTGTTCACTCTGTTTCATGTTTGTTTATACCGATCTAAATGGAAGTTAGATGATGTTGTTACAATAATTTCCGACTGTTGTTCAGTGTGATATGTAGTAAATTAAAGCGTTAAAACTTGGTTACAAGTGCGTTACGTATCGTTACAAATGCGTTACTTTTTTAAAAGCATACCGTAGTTTACAATTGTGTCAAAAATTTTAAATGGCATGTGTTATGTGTTGAATAAATGACCGTTTGTTAATAATGATTTATAAAAAGTTAATCTTATATTATGTGTTGTATTTTTATACTCGTCAATTCCATGTTAGATGAGATAAATAATAATTTTTAAAAAGTATATAAACAAAAATTTTTATAACAGAATAAAAATTAAAGGACGGACTCCAGTGACAAGATAATCAAGTGTTAGCATGGACTTATAAATAACATAGAACTTGTATATAAGCTCTTAACTACAACAAAGTGATTTTCAACTAAAATGGCGTTTTATTTGATAATAATCAGTGATAATATTCAGATTATTGAAGGCTAAACTGACATCCGGAAATATAAATACATGGACCAGTGTAGCGTTAGCTTGCTTCACATGCAACCACTGGACATTTCCGAGAAGAATTGGTTCTACTAACTAAACCTCCGCAAGAAGAGTCAACCAGCGACGATGTTAAGGCCATGGCGCGCGACGCCTCTTATACCAATAATTCATATAAACAATATAATCCAATAATTCATATCAACAATATAATACAACAATTATTTTTCTTAATACAATTTAGTAGGGTTCAATCGCACCCTCTGCATCCCACCCCCTACATCCACCCCAGGTTTTATCCTGCTTTAAATTTGAGATTGGTGTACTTTGTATTAGGCCTATTTTTGCGGTATTGGAAACGTAATAAAAATGCTTCGTTTAACATTCGAGTTCGTATGTGTTGTTTAAGAATTATGAAAACATAGGGGGCGTACTTCACCACGCCTTGTAATTAGAACATGAGTGGACCATATCTTTGTAGGTCTATTTTAAATTAATATTTAATATAACGTTTTGATAAATAAGTATTATCTTAATGGATGTATGATAATAATGTTTGGCGTATCTTACTGGTTGTCTTACCAACAGCTGTGTTGATAACATCTTTTGATTTATTATGACGTAAGCGATACGGAGTCAATACTCAGAGATAGCACTAGACGCAGGGTTCCCGGAACGCCGCCCTCAGCGGCGAGTGCGAAGCACAACTCAGGCTCAAAAGTGGAACGTAAATTTGGATATGGTTTTGTAGTCAGATTTGCGAGAAAAACTTCAGCTACCCGTATTTCTCGACTGAGACGTCAGTAGGAGATGTAATTTGTATGGCAAGGAGATTGAGCAACCCTTCATTCATATTAAGGGAATTTAAATCAGAACGTGCTGAGAGTAGGACGAGAATGTCTACTACAGGTGCATTTAACGTTTCTGTCGAGTCGGTTGGAAGCTTTGATGCTGAGAAAGTCACATGGCATCTGCCACCAGTCACAACTAGAATTAAACATTATATCGTTCTAAACTATAAACAGAATTGTAACTCCGGTGAATTATTAGATTCTAAAATTGACTCGAAAAGATAATTTCAAACGTTACAATCAATTCATTAATAATAGATAATCTATCGTACCTAACAACTTACTGCGTATGCGTAATAAGCATTGCAGGCTTGGATGAAGATGTATCCGGAATTAACAATTGCAAGGAGTTCACAACCGATTACAACCATATGAACACGAAAGCTGTAATAGCACTAGGAATTGCCTCGTCTTTCATAATGATATTTTGTATTGTTGTTATTTACAATGTGTAAGGCAAACTTTCCCGGCGTACTTTTTTCATGGATAAACAAACACCACTGCTTTGCACATGGATGCCTTGCCCAAGCCAGGGCTACAAGAGCCGCATTGTTAGATGCATTGTATAATACTTAAATAAGGTACCTCTGCAAATGAATTATTCTTAGTTATTATTTTTTTTCTTATTTAATTTATTTCTTTCGAAAGTGTACTTTCTATCACATATAATTCCACTGTCTTAGTTAGGCCTAGGCCTAGTAGTCTTATGCCTCATCCTCCCCCGCTACACAGTACATCAGGAGCCCCTCCCCCATACAGTACAGACGTTTGCTAGGTAACAACGTGATTGCACCTTCCTTCCCAGGTGTTCATGTAACATTTACATAATTGTTAGCTAACCAGTTGTGTGTATTTCTTTGTGAAAATGAGTACCGCGGCGTACTCATTTTCACAAAGCATCATTTGCATCCCCCTCTTGGAAAGAGGGATTCGAAATAATTGTCTCCATATCTTCGCTAATTAAATTAATCACCGTAATTTAGCTTACACTTATAAATTTAAGGAGCACTTAAAATGTGAAATAATCATTTCAGTACTCGACAAACTCCGAAATTTATTCATTCATTAGGCCTACATAATAGTTTTCATATTGCTGTACTATACTCCAACATCACTGGCGCATGGTAACAACCAACTGACTGCAGACCATTTCCGGTCACACATTACTCTCCATAACACAGCAACCCCTAGTTCCGTCACCTCTGGATTCCTTTCCTGTGAACACCAACGCCGGAAGATAAGAACTCGAAAGAAAACGTGATTCTCAGTTTCCCAATAAAAATCTCTCGCACCTTAAGTAAACATTTGTGATCTGTATTAAACGGCTGGTGTCATATACAGTACTGTAGAAGTAACATTATACCTGAGTGCGTTTATCGACTATCGTCTCCGATCAGATTATATGGTATGTCAGGTTGATGACTATTGGCAGATTTAAAATGAATAGTTTCGGTATCGAGTAGGTCTACAGTTGTGTTTTATGATGGCTGAGTGGTTTGACGGGAAATCCGGCTGTTAAATTGAAGGCATGTTGAGGAAACCGGGCGGTTCAGCCGCCTACTACAAGTATATTGGTAAGGTATTTCCTATACAGCATTTACATCTGTATGTATGTGATTTTGCTATAATTATTTAAAAAGTAAGCCTATACTACTAGCATATTTTGAGAGCTTTAAACTTCGATTTATAAACCATAGATCGTCATCTTGCAGTAGGTAAATTTATGCTGGTATCAATAGCGCTATATGGTGAATATGGCATAAAGGAAACGTTTGGTATTAAACTTGTACGACTTTTCATTATATTTCAGGTATTTTAAAAATGCAGCACATAATAATTGCTATAGGGCTATCACTTGTATGTACGGCAGTGACATCTGTGGGTGTACAAACAT